ATATATATATATATATATATATATATATCGTGTAATGTGCGTGAATGAATAAAAGAATTAGTGAATGTGGCAATGAGGGACCTACATTAAAAACAACGCAGCATCTTTGTACAATGTCATCTTCCGAAAAATTGCGACTTCAGGCCGGTGAAATAGCTTTCCCGTGCGCCCCACGTCGAGTTGGTTCATTTTTAAGGCATCGCGAAGAACGCGACAAAAGAAAAAGGATGACTCAAAGCGGGCTTTTCTCCAATCTCGTTCCTGTCTCTCTCAGTGTATCTCGCTATATTGTAAAAGCTCTCTGTTCGTATTACTTAATGGTTCAGGGCATAACAGACAATTAGGCCGTGCGAAGTAGTAATTGAAATTGAGATTGGAATGCTGGCGTATTAATCTCAAAATGAAAACGAAAATAAACAAAATTTGGACGGGACCTTTGCGACATCTACTCGTTCTCTTTCGTTTTCTAGTGCCCTATTATTTCTATATGTCAGTAATTCATTCCGATTAACTTGCACAACAAGGGCTTTTCACAGTTAGCTACTTCGTACGGTGGAGACCAAAGCCCCTAAGGTCCACCTCTCACTTATTGCAGCATCTGACTGGCTTTTGGCTGCTTCGGCATTTCCAGTGCGACCCAAATGCAGAGATGACAGAAAGAATCAGAGGTGCTTCCGGTTAACGCACATGCTCAGCAGAACAAGTCGCAAGGCAGCGGCCTAACTTTGCAGCCAGATCGGGCGGGCTGTTTATTATTATCATGGTCAGCCCGGGTAATACAGCGGTAGGGCTGTTTCGGTCTCTCTCTGCAGGGCGACGTCCGCGGCCGGATACGCAATGATGGCGGGGTGTGAACTCCCTACACTGCGCGCACGTGCGAGAGCTCGCGTATAAACTCGCTGCGAGTTGCCGTGGTTCATGCTCTCGTGTGGTTTTTTTTTTCCATGTGCACGAAAGTAGCGAAGCATGTGTTTCCGTCAAGGCCGGCGTAACCTTTGTTAAGTTCAGCGCTGTTTCTGCTGCCCTAGTGCAGCTGGCACTGCTGGCGATACGGTGAATTCGCTTCCCGGCAGCCGTGACCATTTGAAGCCAAACTCTCCGACAATGCAATAATAATAATAATAATAATAATAATAATAATAATAATAATAATAATAATAATAATACAGAAGAAGAAGAAGAAGAAGAAGAAGAAGAAGAAGAAGAAGAGAAGAAGAAGAAGAAGAAGAAGAAGAAGAAGAAGAAGAAGAAGAAGAAGAAGAAGAAGAAGAAGAAGAAGAAGAAGAAGAAGAAGAATTTCTTTGAGGCTTTCCATGCCAATATCGCGATCTCATCATTAGTTGCTCTAGGGTGATTTTATTCACGTGGCGCACCTAACCAAAAGTACACGAAAGCTTTTTTTTTTTTTTCACCGCTTGCTGTGAGTCGCAACCTCAACCTATATATAGATAGCGCTTCTCAACGCAGCGCATTGCCACTAAGCCATCACAGTGGGCCTCTATACGTGTCTCGGAACTTACAACAGCGTTACGTACTGCAACCTTGAAAGTCACACTTTCTCTGTTTCTAATCTTTTTTGTATACTAGACTCATATCTTCCGAGAGTTACCACCGCCATCTAACGGGACGCCTCGGCCATCAAGTTATGAAAAGTTCGTCATTGTGAATCCGCCTAATTCATTACGCATAATAGAGAAGCATTTCGGAGACAGGCAGTGAAACATTGGATGTACACTGTCTCGAGCTATTCCTCTCGAGCGTCCGCAGCATGAGAAGCATCGAGAGACATCTCGTAGTCCTTGGAACAGTTTAGACAGAAACTACTCAAACCTAGTCGTGCCCCTAATAAACTGAGATTGGCTTTCTCCACGAAGTTCTCTCGCGCCCAGCGAAGTGATAAACAATTTGCGAGCGATGCATTAATGGGCGAATTTTCCTCCTCACTGCCAATTTTTAAACGCAACCACATTTTCGCGTGTTCGAACAAACTCCTTTCTCTTTTAACGCGATATCGTTTTAGAGCTCGTTTAGCGAAAATTCCAGCGCCGGCGTCACTGGTTGTGAGCGAAAAATCAACATTTGTCCGTGACCGAAAAATCAAGTAAGCTTCCAATCAAATAAATAACAATTTCCGAGCGCGAGTTAGGATCCAACCCAGACCGTCACATGTGCGTGGCGAGACGGTGTTCTATAAAACAGCCACGTTATCTGCTTTGAAATACACTAAAAATAATGTCTGCCTGGACATGCAGTGAAAATAACTTTCATGCTTTAAAAACAGCCGCGTCTCGTGTACAGGCTTCACCATACGACATGTATGGGGGCCGATATTGCTTGGCACAAGCGTACATTGCCATCGGGCATCATAACGTGTGATTATCATAACGACTTGGTGGTTTAAAGCCGGCCAGCAATCCCAAAGGTACACGCGTGTAGCTGCTCGTTTTCCATTAAGATCACATAGTGGGTGCACAGCATGTTCGAAAACATTCGACGCGCATAATTGCTCTTGGTTCAAAGCATGCTTTCCATTTCACAGAACGCAGCCGTATGTGAAAGCTTCCCCGCATTTTCCGGCGTTCAACTCTTAAAGGCGAAGCAAAAGGGTCCCTTTTTTTTTCTGTACATTCAATAAAGAAGGAAGATTTATTATGCGCAACAATGCCGGGAATGGAGCAAGGCTTATGGAACCGCGGGCGTATCAAGAAGATTGAAATAATCTATGGCGAGGGCACGCGTTTGTGGCTGTGCGCTCTGTCATCTCATTTCACGTCATCTACCTCGCAGCTGGCGTGGGCAGCGTCGGTAGAACGCTATCTTACCAGTGCGCCGTGCGGGACAGAAGTGACATTCTGCGATCAGCTTCGGCACAAAATAATAATATGGTGGTTTTGGGACGTTAAACCCCCCATATCAATCAATCAAATCATCTATGGTCCTTCTCCATATCCCAACAAGCTATATAGCATCACTATTACAACATATTCCAAAATTTATTCATTTCTTTCATGACCATACTGCCTCAAAATCTTGTATAGACTATAATCTATATCCTCGTGCATGTTAGAGTACCGTATAGCTATCTCAAAAATGAAAAGTTGCATGCTCAACTATGTGCATATCGCCGCTTCGCTTGCCCCAAAAAGTCTGTTCTTCAGCGAAACATAATATTTGAGAAGCGCCCAACGTACTGAATACAGAGAGAATAGGTTTAGACGGCTACCAGTGGTTGGTCTGCCGCCGAATTCACCCGCCGCGGTGGTCTATAGTCATTGCTCGAGACACACACACACACACACACACACACACACACACACACACACACACACACACACACTATCGAGGAGGCGTCTGCTGGACACAATAATGTGGTGCATTGGGGATGAACGAAATATACTGCTCGGCGGAGGAATCTGGGCGCGGAACTCAATAAATAGGAGATTATAGGTCTATTCGATTCACCCTAGGTTCTCTGCACCTTTTCACGGTGCGCTGCACCTCACTCTTCGAGTCTCAAAGGTGCAGCTGTGCCCCCTGCACCTGCGTCCTCGATTGTACAGGGTGTTGGTTGGGTGTCGCCGTGGTGCCCTGAACCTTTGCACCTTCTAGAGCGAGGGTGCGGCATTTTGGTGAAGCCTCGCACATTCCTGTCGCGCGCTAGCAGACAACACCTTGAGACATGCCTGTGGGACGTCGTTGACATCGACGGTGTACCGACGGAAAATTTTCCAATTGTGGACGATCTTGGCGTCATACTCCTAGACGGCGACTGCGAACTCTACTCTTCAGCGGGTAATTGTGCAGAAGTGATAGCATTTTTTTTAGAAGTTCGCTCAGATGCATGACGGCGACATTTCTTCGTTTTCTGTTGTTTTTTGTTTTTTTTTCTTCAGGTGGCAGAACATTGCGGGTTGTATGCGTGTCGGGCCAACTTGCCACCACTGACTCGATAAACGACCACGCGATGCCGACGATGCAAGCGGCCAATGCAGCAGCTGCCGTGCTTCGTCAGAGCGCTGATCGAAGTCCTGCACGTCATGGCGACTCTGACGAAGTGCTGTGGAGCGGAAGAGAGACGCCATTTTTTATTGATAAATATAAAGAGAATTTCGGCCATCTCGGCATAAAGGCGCTTGAACTCGTAGTCAAAATAACGGACGACAACCTCCTCGTTGTACCTAGGTGTGCAGTTACGATCGCTGCTCACCAGTTTCTCGCACCGATTTGACACAACACTGCGTCCAGTTTTTCGTCTTCGCTGTCGGACTCAGCTATTTCTATAGCAATGTGGAATTCCTCCATGCTGATAAATCAGGAGCTGGAAATCTGGTCACCGAGCAGCAGACGACAGGTGTTCTCTGCTTGCACCTCAACATTCGATTGACACTAAGCGGTGGCGCTACTGATGCGTTGCATTTGCGCCACGAAATGGGTGCGGAGACACCTAGCTACACCTGCTGCACCAGGTGTCTGCACCGGCTGCACCTTTTTGAATGCGGTGCCGTGTACTTCTTTTTATAATAGAATAGACTCGGTGTAACGTGAGTTCAACAAATGCTCAGGAATACACTGTGATGCGTGTCATTCATATGAAGCTTAAAGCTGTAGTCTGCGTAGTAATGATTGCCTTGATATTTTTGCTGGGGATCTGTAGAAGGCTCCATAACAGCGTATGTTGGAACCCCCCACCAGCCCCCCGTTCGTGTTGATGATCGTTCTAGGACCCACCAATCGAACTCCACTCCCGATTCGCCCAGAGAATTTGTATCAATACCCAAAGCATTGTCTTCCACGCAAAAGTACAAGTGTTCCAAGCGCGGGAACCCTCGTACACTTCTAACATCAAGCGGATAGTTTTGTATGACGTGAATTTGTCTTTCGAACGATCCCATTGCAGGAAGTCTCCATCCGGCAGCTGTTGAACACGGCGCCTTTTCCATGAAGGCGGAGCTTGATCATGTGGTCTGAAGCGTCAGTATATAAAACCAAGCGCAGCCCTCCCGTCGGTCTCTATTCGTAACGCAGAACGTGGGAGCGCGCTCTGAAGATTTCGATTGTATTATAATCATGGCATTGAACAATAATATTGGGAACCACGTTATTACAAACGGAGAAGCGTTGCACGACGTACACGATAATGAGGAACTTGACGATGATTCGCTTGAAACATTTCTCTTCAGTTCAGAATCCGTCGGCGAGGGACACACCGGTGAGTGATTCATACAATCTTCGTTTCTTCCCGTCCTCCATTTTAATATTTAGTTGGATGCTGGTCGTAATGCGTTTCGTGACCGTTCTGCAGCACTTAAATATTTTCCCGCGCTAACAGCGGGCCACAGCGCCGAGGAACTTTCCCACAGTCGAAATAAACGTGCCTCGCTCGCATTCGGCTTTTAGGAGCACTGATTCAGTTTCAGGTCCACAAACATTGTTGCAAGCGACCCGTATTTTGCGTCTTCGAGTAGCTGCGCCCGTGGCGTCGGCGCGGGCATCGAGTCGTGTACATAATGACCTGCACAACAGCTATGGGTCGCGGGTTATTGTGTGAACACGCTTCTGTGTTAGGGTTAGCTGGCTTAATGAAGGGGCACACATGCTGATTTTCTCGGCGTGATCGCCACAACTGCGGAGCACCGCCGTAATATGTGACGCATGCCGGATCCCAAGAGCGGCATCCAAGGAGCAGTGTCAGTGGAGCTGATGCACCGGTCAGTCTGAACACCGCCGAAACTTCTTATCACCCAATTACCAATCACGTGGTACTCTTATGTGGTACCAATCACGTGGTACTTTCCCGCGAATTCAGCCTGTGCCATCACCCACGCGCGATTCTCCACGATGCTCGGATTCGTTACCTCAATACGTTGTCGATGCTCTCGCTGCTCGCATATCATCTCATCGGTAAGGATCAGGCTCATCGCTAATTTCTGCGGTGTAGGGGTGCATTCTGTGATAATGTATTGGATGGTGCCTGCTACAGAATACTGGAGAGTGACATGTGGAGCATTTGTGGGAGCTACTTAATTTGCGTAATGAAACCTGCATATTTTTTATATTTCGCTTATTCGTCATACGTTGCCTAGATGACTCTGTTTAAAGTGGATTTTTATTTTTCGGGGCTTTTATCGCTCGCTTTGAGTACGCAGGTGAGGTACGTATTCATGATACTCGTGATATTCTTGATATTCATGAATTTTGGCGGGCGCACGCTTTGCTTCTTCCTTTTCCTATTTTTTTTTCCTCCCTTCGCCTTACTTTGCACTGTGTTGCTCGTACCATATGTATTCAGTGAACAGGTAATTAAAGCTATTGATTTGCCTTTCTGCTGTGCTCGTTGAGCAAGCCTATAGAGGTTGGCTACACTAGATTAGTCCTTGAGTTTTGTACCAGCATCTCGTTATGCAGGCAAGGGTAGTAGCGTTTTTAATTGGCATAGTTTACAGAAAATTGATTTGACAGGACTGTGCAATAAGCAGCAGGTGTTGCTATTTGGGTGTTGGTAGTGGTAGCAGGTGTTGCTATTTGAAGACCACATGGCAAAGGAAAGTTTGTATGCAAGGGGAAAATTGTCATACACTCGTTAATAGCTCAAACAACTTACAAAGGACACCCACATTTTTTGGAAAGAAGGCTTTGCCAAATGAGTTGCCTTAACAACAGAACGTTGGCTTAAAAAATAGAAAATTACTTCATGTGTATTTCAGCATGTTGTGGTAAATGGGCATATTTAAGCAGAACGCCTCGTGTCACTATTACTTTATTAAAAAAAGATGTTGATAGTTTTGTCAGGCTATGGATCATGGTAATGAATTTTTTTTTCTTCCTGTGGATTTAATTTAAAAGTGGCAACTTTCCTTGCAGATAAAATGTGCGACCAGATAAGCGATGCCATACTTGATGCCCACCTGAGACAAGACCCAAATGCCAAGGTAGCATGTGGTAAGTTTTCTTTTTATGTGGGCACTGTTGCTAATTTTACAGTTTCCACCCATGAAAGTAGTTACTCATTAGACTCTTGGTATTGATCCTCAAATTTCTATGCAGTGTTGTTGATTGTGGTCTCTCCACTCCAGAAACGGCGACTAAAACTGGAATGATTATGGTGTTTGGTGAAATCACATCTGATGCAGTCGTTGACTACCAGCGCATTGTGAGGGAAACCGTAAAGAAAATAGGCTATGACTGCAGCACCAAAGGTAATGCATATTGGGTTTGTTTACCTTCTTTAAACCAATGCTGTATTGCCTAAAGTATTGTCTATCACCATTGCTAGATCTTCATGGCTTGTACAAGTACTGTGGTATTCCTTTTCTTTTGCTTCTCTGTTCAGTCTGGATGCACTTGTAGTAAGGAAATAGTTATGCCAGAACCATCCTTGGGCATTTTTGGAGAAAAATGGTCACGCTAATTGTTTTTGTCGATATTGCAGCTGCTTGATTTTTGTCTTTTTTTTTTTTTGGCAGGCTTTGACTACAGAACATGCAATGTGTTGGTAGCTATTGAGCAACAAAGTCCTGAAATAGCAGCTGGTGTTCATCAGCAGAGAAAGGAGGAAGACATTGGTGCCGGAGATCAGGTGAGACACTCAGTAATTCGGAGAACAACGATTGACTTCTGAAGAAGTTTTGCTCCTTATCATTGTTAAAGCCAGTTTATTGCAAAGCATGATTATTAGGCCAGTGAAGCAGAATAGTGGGGCCTGAAAGTTAGAGGGACATTTAAGGGAAACGATGACTTGGTTGAAAAAGAGCAACAATGACGAATTGCACTCTGAGAACTCTAATGCCATATGTTTCAGTATCATAAGCTTATTATTAGCGGAAAAAATGAAGGTTGAAGTTTCATTTTTAAATTTTGCACTGAAATTGGTGTGTACCATGAAAAATTTCAAAATGTATTTTTTGTGATTTCACAACATTGGGTCGATGAAAATTTCTGAAACTTCATATGCTAGGTCTACGGCACCCACAGAGGACAGTGCAGTTAATTTTTATAGATTAGTAGCTACATAGAATCCAGTAGACTCCTTCAAAGTCTATGACGTCATAATGTTTGGTGCGGGAATCTAAAGGTGGCGTCTCCACTCGCATTTTCTTATGCGTTTAATCGCTCACTAAGCGTCATGTCGCAGCAAGAGCAGTGTTTTCAGATTGTGAAATTGTACTTTACTAATACGTGACAAATCGTTTACTAATACGTGACAAATCGATGAAAATTTCTGAAACTTCATATGCTAGGTCTACGGCACCCACAGAGGACAGTGTAGTTAATTTTTATAGATTAGTAGCTACATAGAATCCAGTAGACTCCTTCAAAGTCTATGACGTCATAATGTTTGGTGCGGAAATCTAAAGGTTGCGTCTCCACTCGCATTTTCTTATGTGTTTAATCGCTCACTAAGCGTCATGTCGCAGCAAGAGCAGTGTTTTCAGATTGTGAAATTGTACTTTACTAATACGTGACAAATCGTTTTGCTCTGTAGTGTGCCTTTAATATGCTAAAATCTAAGCTAGTTCAACTGTCTCTGAAGAGAACCAGTTTGTAATGGGTAGTGAGGCCGTGGAAGTTGTAAAAGAATGTGCCTGTTAAGACATGTAGTGAAGCCTCAAGTAAATAGAAGTAGTATGCAGTGGAGTGCATTTTGTAAGGACTGTCAAATCATAAATTCCATTTTGTCAGTATCCCTGAAGAGAGAAGTATATAATAGCTGCATCCCACTGGTACTTGCCTGTGGTACTGATATTTACAACAGGCTTGCGTAAAGGGCTCGGCCGCAGTTGAGGCTGGCACAGTGAACCATGAAAGGAAAAAATAATACGTGTAACTAACAGAAGTGAGCCAGGAAACAAATGAGTGTTGGAAATTTTAGTTGAAATCGCGAAGAATTGGGCTAGGATAGGCCATGTCCTAAGAAGGCAAGATAAGATTATCAGACTAGATTACAAAAAAGGCAGAAAGTGTAGTGGGCAGATGACATCAGTGCTATAATGCCCACTGTATGGTGTTTGATACATTGAATATAATACCTCAATAAAGCTACTATAGGTGGCGCGATAAGCAGCTATTGCAGATTTCACGTGCTTTGAAGAAGGTACAGTTACTTGCATATTGCCACCTGGTGTTCTGTGCCAGTGAACGAAGAAGTCGAAGACGAGCAACTCGCACCAGTCGGAGACGTTTTTCTTTGTGTCTGACATTTTGACAGTCGCGTCTCCTTGTACGTTTGTTCAAGCCCCTAGCGCATGACAACTGGTGCAAGTGCTGGGTAACTCTATGCACCGAACCCCTCCCAGTACAAGAAGCTCCAGAACAGGCGTAACCGGTAATTACGCCTGTTCATCGTGCCAGCCGAAGGATCTGTCGACTGGACCCTAAATTCGAACTTTTCCCAGAGAGGATGACTGTTTCAACTATCCCAGGCAGTGCTGTCCCATGCGGCTCCAACCCAGCTGCTATGGAAGGCTTAACGCCCATGCACTATACGCTGTTCAAACCATGAATGCCGAATCGCTTTCATGATGCTGCCCATGAGAATGTTTAGGATTTGCTAGTACACTATGACTTCATTGCTGCTCATAACATGTAGGATGACGCAGACAAACTCGTTTGAATGACGGGGCACATGTCTGGTAGGAAAACCGGGCCGGTGTGTTCACGTCGTGAAAGGATGTCTCCGGCTGGAGTGGGTTGCTCATCTTCACTGGCACAGAACTGGTTCACTGTTTAATGGCACAGAACACCTGGTGGCAATATTATATATAATTAATTATTTTAAATTATTACTAATAAGCTCTGCCTCAAACAAAATTTTAATGTTTCTTCTAAAATGAAGTGCCCAAGAAGGATAAAAACAGTAGGCCTTTTCTCGCAATTTTTCTGAAGACATAACTTATCGTGGGCATTGCAGGGTTAAAAAACTTTCGAGGATAACGTGGCCGCAGGTTGCACGGACTTAGATTAATTACTTGAAAATGTAGGAGAGGCCTTTGCCCTGTGATACCCCGCAGGGGCGTCTGTGCAAGCAGGCGTTTGATGTGTAGCGACACCACGGACCCGAGCTAACGGAGGGGGGGGGGGGGGGTCTGCTCCCTCTCACGCCTAGCCGTGCGTGGCTTTGCAAAGGGGGATCCTGGGGGTTGAGCTGACGCTGGGTGATCGGACCTTTAAGGCCCCCAGTAGAGGCAACGCACCCCTTTGGCCCCGGCTTCACGTAGACGGTGCCCCTTGGCTGACCCACCCAGGGGAAATCTGCAGTGGCCTTTTCCTATCTCTATACCCTAATCTTCGTCTTTCTCTCATTTTTTATCTATCCTGTCTTCTACTCTCTTTTGTTTACTTCCAAACTTCCTGGCGGCTAGGGTTAACCCTGTGCAAATAGCCTATTTTGGTCTAGGTGCATTGGGTTATAGTAGCGTTGTACGTCTGGCGTCTGCAGGTTTTAGCATCCGCAAACTTGTAGCGTCCCCTCGTTATGCTCCGTGGAGGGTGGCTGCCAACGCTTCTGAAGAAAATTAAACCGGCATGCATAGAGCTTTTTCCTTATTAAGTGATCGTGCCGCCTTAAAGCGCAAACGCACCGATGACTTGGGCTATTTCAACCGATCAAATAAAAACTTCCCTCATTTTCATGTAATACATAGTGAGATAAGTGGCAAGCAAGCCAGAACTGTATCCCCCTTTGTAGTAGCCAGGTGTTTCACAGAAACTCTTGGGGCCGTGTACAAAGTTAGCAAAATGGCCAGCGGATACCTCCTCCTTGAAGTTCGAGAAAAATAACAGTTTGATAAGCTACAGAATCTTTCAGCTTTGGTGACACTCCGGTCACTGTAACACCACACAGATCTATGAACACAACCCGTGGAGTGGTATCTGACACCGATTTCCTTGGCCTGACCGAAGCAGAACTTCTAGAGGGTTGGTAGAGTCAGAATGTGACCAATGTACAGAGGATTATCATCGGAAGAGACAACAAGCAAACGCCAACAAAACACCTTGTACTCACATTCGCTTCCAGTGATCTGTCAGAAACTATTCAAACTGGGTACACGAAGACGTCGATCAGACCATACATAACTAACCCACGTCGTGGTTTTAAATGCCAGAGGTATGGCCACGGCTCACAAAGCTGTCATGGTCACCAAACTTGTGCACAGTGTGGAGTGTCAGGCCACAATTCTGACAACTGCGAAGAACCATCACACTGTGTGAACTGTGGTGGAAATCATGCCGCATACTCACGGTCTTGTTCATTTTGGAAAAAAGAAATCTTCACATTGAAAATTAAAGAAAATATCACATTCAAAGAAGCAAGACGAAGAGTGTCGCCATTTTACGGCGCTACATGTGCTGATGCCGCGCGTCAGGGGGCAACGCCGCACTAGCCGTCGCCACTCCTTCGGCCAGCGCAGAGCGAGCCGTCGGCTGTGGCGCCGGCCCCCAAGGCGGCAGTAGTTCAGTCTACTCCGCCTCCTAGCGAATCGAGGCCGGGGACTCCAGGGTCCTCTGGTCTCAAGGCCTCACCTCACCAGCTCGAACCACCAGCTCGCATGTGTGGGCATCGAGTGCCTCTGAAGAGGCAATGGATACAACGGCGTGGCTCCTTGGAGTGCGCCAATAAAAATAAAAAAATCACTAACGGGGCCAGACGACCGTCCTGCCACCTGAATTAACAAGTTCACTCCAACACAGGATACTCTCTGTACACACAGCAGCATCTTTTTTTTTAATATGCAGACAGAAATATTTCAGTGGAACATCCGAGGCCTTCTTCGAAACCTCGATGACTTACAAGAACTCCTCCATGAACACAATCCTAGAGTGCTGTGTGTACAAGAGACACACTTAAAACGAACAAACAAAAACTTTTTACGTAACTACGTAATCTTCCGAAAGGATAGAGATGATGCCATGCCACCATCTGGTGGTGTAGTGGTTATAGTTAGTCAAGGTATACCATGTACACATTTACCCCTTCAAACTTCCCTCAAGGCGGTGGCTGTCCGAGCAGTTATTCTAAACAAACTCGTCACTGTCTGCTCTTTGTACATACCTCCGCACCACCGTCTTGAAAGGCTTCAATTCCAGTCTTTAATAGACGAACTACCTGAACCTTATCTGGTCCTTGAGGACCTGAACGCACATAACGGTCTGTGGGGCGACTCGCTGTGATGCACGAGGTCGTCTCATTGAACACTTCCTCATTTCATCAGGTGCTTGTCTGTAGAATAGGAAAGAGGCAACTTATTATAACCTTGCCAACAAAACTTCCATAGGCCTCAGTATCGCATCTCCTTCACTCGTACCATTACTTCAGTGGAAAGTCATAAATAATCCATACGGAAGTGACCATATTCCTTTAGTTTTGAGTACACCAACATTATATGAATGTCCTCCACATGTTCCCAAATGGTTGGTAAACGAAGCCGACTGGGAACAGTTTCGAAAGATTACTCACTTAAGTTAGACTGACATATGCGGATTAGGCATAGATGAAGCTGTGCAGTACTTCATGGCTTTTCTTACTGACGCAGCAGCCAAGTGCATCCCACAAACATCTGGACTGCCGGGCAAGCGACGCGTCCCATGGTGGAACACTGAGTATTGTAATGCGCGAAAGGAACAGAACAGGGCATGGAGGTTTCTGCGGAACTTGCCGACAGGAGAAAACCTTGAGAGCTTTAAGAAAATAAAATCTCGAGGCAGGAGAATGCGTCGGCAGGCCAGAAGAGGAAGCTGGCACAAGTTTTTATCAGGGATAGATTCTTATACACAAGAGGCTAAAGTCTGGAACATAATTGGTAGGGTAGCAGGAAGACAAGTACACTCACTCCCACTCGTAAACACAAAGGGTGATAGCCTGGAAGATCAGGCGAACTTCCTCGGTACATACTACGAGCAGGTGTCTAGCTCGTCACACTATACTGAAGCTTTCCAAAGATACAAAGCAAGGATAGAAAAGCAGAAACTTGAATACAAGTGCACAAATTACGAGGCATACAACCAACCTTTCCACTTAGCTGAGCTACTAACATCACTAAACTCTTGCAGCAATTCTGCCCTAGGCTACGGTGGTGTCAAGTATGAAATGTTGAAAAACCTGCCGCTCAAAACGTGAAAAACTTTACTTTCCCTATACAATGCTATCTGGCTTTCTGGCACCATCCCTTCTTCCTGGAAAGAGGCTATTGTTATCCCTATTTTGAAACAGGGCAAGGACCCTGCCTCAGTTGCGTGTTATAGGCCCATTGCACTTACAAGCTGCCTTTGAGAACTTTTTGAAAAGATGATAAACCGCCGGCTTTTACATTTCCTCGAAACACACAATCTGCTCGAGAGATCCCAGTGCGGGTTTCGAGAGGGTAGATCCACCACCAACCATCTGGTGCGCATTGAGGCAGAGATCTGAGACGCTTTTGTCCACAAACAATACTTCCTCTCTGTGTTTCTCGATATCGAGAAGGCATACGACACAACATGGCGTCTTGGCATATTAAGAGACCTGTCTCACTTGGGTGTGCGCGGTAGAATGCTTTCCATAATCGAGAGTTACTTGTCCAATCGGACATTCTGTTTTCGTGTGGGCAGTATTCTCTCCCAAACATTTGTCCAAGAAACGGGAGTACCGCAAGGTGGTGTACTTTGTTGTACACTTTGTATTATCAAAATGAATTCCTTGCACCTGCCCATCCGCCGCAACATGTTCTACTGTACATATGTCGATGACGTCCAGCTTGGCTTTAAGTCATGCAACCTGGCAATGTCTGAGCGGCAGGTTTAGTTAGGCTTAAACAAGGTCTCCAAATGGGCAGCGTAAAACAGATTCCGACTGAACCCACAAAAAAAGCACGTGTGTCTTGTTCTCCTGAAAGAGAGGCATGCACTCAAAACCAGACATTGAACTGAACGGTCAATGTCTGTCTGTTAATGCGGGGCATAATCTTGGACAACAAGTTAACCTTCGTACCGCACATCAAGTATTTAAAAACAAAATGTTTAAAAGCCATGAAGGTTCTAAAAGTTCTCACGTACTACGTGGGGTAGGGACAGGCAATGTCTCATGAACCTGTGTAGAAGCCTCATTCGCACCCGCTTAGATTATGGGGCTGTTTATCAGTCTGCGACTCAAAGTGCTTTGAAGATGCTGGACCCCGTGCACCATTTGGGCATCCGCCTTTCTACAGGTGCTTTTCGCACCAGCCCTGTAGAAAGCCTTTACGTGGAGTCAAATGAGTGGTCGCTTCATCTGCATAGAACTTGCATGTCCTTTGTATATTTCCTTAGTGTGAAAGCAGACAAGAAGCACCCCTCATACTCCACTATTAATGATTTTTCGAGCTCCATACTGTTTCAGAACAGGCCTTCGATGAGGCCGTCCTACTCGATTCGCTTCACGGGTCTGTCTGAGAAAACTGGTGTCTCACTGGAACACAGTTTATTGGCTCCTGTAGCATACCCGCCACCTTGGCAGTGGCAGACTATAGAATGCGATGTGTCTTTCCGAGAAATTACAAAACACGTGCCCATTGCCCATATCCGAACATACTTCCTGCAACTTCAACACAAATACACACGTCCTGAGTTCTTTACAGATGCCTTCAAGTCTATCTCCTCTGTGTCCTACACTGCTGTCGGCCCATCCTTTTCGAATGCTGGCCCTCTGCATCCAGAGACGAGTATCTTCACAGGGGAAGCTTATGCAATACTTGTGGCCACTAAGCACATCATACAACTACAACTACAAAAAGCAGTAATTTATACAGGCTCTCTGTGTGGTAACGGCTCTGCACACTCTTATAAAACAAAAAAACCCTGTCCTCATCTCACTTTACTCCATTTCATGCACACTCTACACACTCAAACAATATGTTGTAGTGTGCTAAGTGCCAGGGCACCGTAAGATCCAAGGCAACGTGATGGCGGATCAACTTGCTGCATCCGTCTACGAAAACACTGCCACTACACCCATATCAATCCCGGCCCTTGATCTTAAGCTGTCTCTCAAACGAAAGCTCAGGGACTACTGGCAGAGCAAGTGGGATAGACACACACAAAACAAACTACACATTATTAAGCCACACGTTGGCCATTGGCCACCAGTATCAAAATCGCGTCGTACAGAAGTAACACTAACAAGGCTCGGGATAGGACACACACGGCACACTCATATCTTTTGTCCGGTGGCGATCCACCATTGTGTGACAGATGTGGTGAAGCACTAACAGTTCTTCACATTTTAATCCAGTGCAAACAATTAGACACTCTGAGAAAACAACACTTCCCATTACCCTACCGACAACATATACCTTTACACCCTGCAATGTTCGTCGGTAGGGAACCACTGTTCACTCATAAATTGGTGCTAGCTTTTTTAAGAGATGTTCGCTTTTACCATGTCATATACCCAGGCATTGCGTAGCATGACCTCTCAAGAGAGGTTGCTGCTGCAGTGACTACATTGAAAAGCACTTGCCTCGCAGCCCTTGGACACAAGGGCGCTGATGAGGCACTTGTGCTAGTGCCAAATATTTTTGCACATGTTTTTATTATCAAAACCTTTTGTCACCGACTTTTACTATTCATATTATGCCACTGTCATGATTTTACCGTATTTACTCGCATATTCCTCACACTTTTTTTACCAGAAAATCGATGCAAAGTTGGGGGGTGCGAGAATTACGCGGGGAAAACTTTCCACGAAAATGCAGAGAGCGAAAAAGAAAATGAAGTGGCCGCAATCGGGATTCTCACTCCAGCAACTTACAGCAAGCTTTAAGAAATACTAATTAGAACTTACCTCAACAATAAAAGCAGAGGTTCAACACAAGGCAAAATTTATTTGAGACACAAAAAGTGGAAGCAAATAGTCGAGAATTAAAATACCATATGCGAAGCTTGTGGACGTTGCGGGCGTAGCAGTAGCGGTCGGCGCTCAACAGGAGCCCTCAAAAGGTAAGCGTAGGACGTCAGTATTGGGCTGACGGCTATTTAACAGAATCGTCTGCAGTTTCCTGCTGAAGAAATAAAGTTTACCATCAATCCCGGTTTTATGCACACGGCAGGCCCAACGCGTCTTGGTGGCTTTCAGCTGCCGTCACCAGTAGCGAACACAAAACTCGTAGGCTCCGAAGGGCCTACCGGCGGCCCGGTTGCCGTTGTTTAGTGCATGATCTATCACTTGCAACTTGAAGCAGCCGTGTGGCTTCAGTATCGCCCCATAACGTGCCAAGATTACCGACACAACATACAAAACATGCCGCAAAGCGCACTGGCCACTTCGGCTTGGCTTGGATTGTATTGAATCTCCGTGCAATACTACGCTTGATGCTTAAGAGATGGTGACAGATGGTGCGTGCTATCATCATCAATAGCTGGAATGAGCAGACGACATTATTGTGGCAGTTTTCAGGGGTGCGATAATTACTCGAGGAAAAAAAAATCTTATTTTTTTGGGGGGGGGGGGGGGGGCAATGTGGGCGGTGCGAGAATTATGCGAGTGCGAGGATTACGCGAGTAAATACGGTAATACTTATGTTTTTACCCGCATTATAGCGAGGAATTTTAAGGCCCCTATACAGCCACGCAACATATCATTGTCCACATCTCTAGTCTTTGAAATGGCACTCTTTGGCCATCAATTGGACCTTGCGCCATAAAGTGCCACACATCATCATCATCATTTGGCCTGTGATAGGTGTAGTCGGGATTGTGACAATGGTGATGCATATGTTATTCATTCAGATGTGGGCCAGTTGTACAAACCTGTGCCATTAGATGGGTGCACATTGAAGAGCCCCAAATGCATTAGATTTATCTGGAGCTCTTCACTGTGAAGCCTTCTAATCATTTTGTTGCTGTAGACTAAACTTCATGATTTAATATACCTTCCTTGCAGGGTCTCATGTTTGGCTATGCCACAGATGAGACAGAAGAATGCATGCCACTGACTGTGGTGCTTGCACACAAGTTGAACAAGCGGCTGGCCGAACTTCGCCGAGATGGCACCTTTTCTTGGGCAGGACCCGACTCCAAAACACAAGTGAGTGTAGCCGGATTGCATGTTTTCCAGAACTTTATGGAGTGTAGAATATTAGATAGTAGCTGGCTTCAGAGTCCCTTCTCTTGAGCTGCTGCTATAGCACAGTATCATTTTGAAGTGGGATACATATTGGTGAATTGTTTTTCACATATGGAAAAGGTTGCTGTGGATGAGCACAGGCTTGGCAAGTTAAAGGAGCACTGGCATCAAATTTCAAGATCGAGATGTGCCCATCATTTAATCACTTGGTATGCATAGGTCTTCTTGGCGAAATTTGAATAGTGTCCGTCTCATCAAATTTCTTTTGTTTCAACGTCAAACAGCTTAGAAAAGCTAAGGAGAAAAAAACGAAAAATTGACTGCCCTGCAAAATCTGCACTAGTGCTATGTCTTCGGTGTGATACATTCCACAAATACCATCCTGAGTGACGCGCTAGTAACGATGACGTCGACGATCTCAGAGTGTTTGCAGCTGATTCCCAGCCATGCTACCACTAGTAGCTCTCCTTGCTGTGTTGAAGCGTGCATGGGATTCATCGTGTCGCGTTGACTGAATTGCGTTGTGCTCCACTGTGTGAGAGTACGATCATTCAGAGCGACAATGCGTGCCAGAATGACGGGGAACTGCTGCGTAGTGAGAACCTGCACGTCGAGGCACGGAAAAAGCGGAAAGTGCGTGGCGTTTCATGCCTTTCCAAGCCACGAACCTTATTGCAGCCAATTGATTAACTTCGTACGTGCCGTTGGATGGAGGGACTGGACGCCTGTCAACGACAGCCGCATTTGCTCCCTTCACTTTGCGACGAGCTGCTACAGTGCTCCTTTAATGTGAATTGAACAGCCAGTAGTTACACAAAGGAGGTTCTCTGGTAGTGAACCTCCTCTTGTGAAATGAATATAGTTTTGAAAAAAGTACGTTGCCATAACTTTTTTTTTTCCATTTAGTGTCTCAGTGCCATTACTTGTAAGAGTTGATTCTGCAAAAGGTTTTGGTCTAAGCTGGAAAAGGCCTGCCAGAAGCAATGCAGTGCCACATGTAGTGCTGTGGCATATGCTAGTCCCACAAGCATCTGGCAGGTTCAGGTGTAGGTCAAATAACAAATGTCGATCAGTTTCAAGTTTTGGCCAATTTTTTTTTTAATTTAGTGTTCTGCTTTGTGCACCAGTGTGCAGTAATTATCACGATTGTCCTCAAACCATGTTTTCCCATTTTCACTTTGCAGGTGACTTGCGAGTACTATTTCAACCATGGCAGGGCGGTGCCCATAAGAGTCCACACAGTCGTGGTGTCGACGCAGCATTCCGAAGACATTTCACTAGATGAGCTTCGTAAGCAAGTAATGGAGCATGTCATTGCGGATGTGATCCCCTCAAGATATCTGGACAGTCGCACTGTTTATCATATCAACCCCTGTGGGAAATTTGTGCAGGCTGGTCCAATGGTGAGCTTCATTAATTTGGCTCAACATTCTTTTCGGCACTTGTGAAACTAGCATTGGCAATTCAGATGTGCAGTGTCATTTGTAGGATTAACAACACTTGCCTGGCACTTGTCTGACGTTGCAGTAAATACTACAAATGACACAGTGCATTTTAGGTAATCGTATACATCATGTTTCGTAACTGGTGCTCTCTTTTTGCCAGTTTGTGTGAGGCACTTCCTAAATAATAGCCTTTTCATTGTGGCACCAATAAATTTTCAAACTTGACAGTTCTTTTACTAGGGATTTTTATTCTAGCTTAGGCTGACACCATTATATTAAAGGTGTGTACACAAGCAGGGGTGCAGGGCGTTTGGGCATGCCCATTGTCGGCTACAATAGACAATCTCTCACAGTTCACTTGGTGAACTCTCACTTGAGCGAACTTCAAGGTACCCAAAGAAATAGTTCACTTAACTGCAATTTCATGAAGCTGAATATTCATTAGAATACACACCATTGGACACAGCAGATGTGAAATCAAAAGTGTGAAATGCAATTATGAAAAGAATCCTGTAGATTTCATTTGGACTGGTGTCCTTGGGTCACAGAAAGAGAGAAAGCTGTCGGGAGAGTAAGTTGCTGTGCAGTGCCTCTGGCACAGCTTGTTGCTTTGATGTGAAGTTTCTGAACTTTTCAAATACTATGGCTCTGCTAGTGATACAGGATATCAACTTGCCTCAGCTATTACAATTCCTTCGTCGCACCCTTCATTTGATTTCAGATTAACACTGGTAACAATTCCTAAATCCGATGGTTCTGCACGGTACTGAAGCACACGTGGCTCGTTTTCGTTTTCCAGCCGCTTTGCCTCAGTGGCGCTGCATGTTCAAACGATCTTGTACCGTTGCCAATGGATGGACGATTCAGGGGTGGCTCGCATTGGCTAGGCCAGTGCGGCAGAGTGCTAAACTTAATGGATTTTAGAAGTGACCCCGGGTCTACAGATAGTTTATTGTACAGAAATATTCACTGTTCATAAATACGTTTAACTGAAAGATTTTTGCACATAATGCATAGAAAAGCCACTGGGGAAAAGCCAAAAGTTTATCTCCAATTGTTCATTGGACAGACTTTTTGTACAAGTGAGAATTCGCTGTGCCACCCATTTGTGGCGTCATGTTCCTTTATTGATTTAGCTTTGTATGCAACGAATTCTGGTACAACACTCATTCAGGTTTAATTGACTTAATTATATAGCCAGCACTCTTTTAAAACATACATTTGTTTTACAGACATCTCAAATTTGAAAGCTGCCCTCTTCGATTATCACATGGCAGAGTTTCAGGAGCTGACCGGCGCGAAGTGTGATAGCAGTTTGTCTGCAGTTTGTGTAAAGAAGCTCATCACAATCAAGCATTTAGATCCGGATAAGGCCCTATCCGGATATATATGTTTGGTTGTGAAAAAAAAAAAAAAAAAGCCCGAGAATTGAATAGGCTGGTGACATTATTGGTGTTTGGCCTATTGGTTATGCTGCCAGCCAGGCTAGTGTATTACAGGCAGCCTAATTCATCCTATTTGTGCGCGAGCCGCATCACCTTTGCATGGTGCCCTGTGAACTGTGTACAATGCATAGTAAGTTGGTGTGCCTTTACATGAACGTTCCTTAAAAGTGTGGTCGTCAGCCAACTGGCCAATAGCGATATCTGTCAAGCAGAGGTCGGGTTCACTGTTAGTTGGTCGATGCCACTTATGAAATACATTCAATAGTGACCTCTCTTATTGCATGGTACATGTACACCACATTGGCCTAGCTCAACTGCATATTTTGCAAAGCTGTTAAAGCACTCCATTTGAGCATACCGTGGGGCCCTTGCAGCTATAGTAGGACTTCATTCCTGTTGCCAATACTCTCCGACGGATCCTACTCTTCTTTTTAAAGAAAGCAGCAGCAAACAGTATTCTTTAGTTGCAACTTATTGCCTGTTAAAGTTATGCTTTAACCACTTTAATCATCTCATGACGTTACTAATAGTGAGTAACTCGTGCAGCTAGAAAATTTTGAAAAGCTCTGGGCCAACCACGACAATACAGTATTTCTTTTACTTATCGTACGGTGAATTGGTACTGCTAAGATTCAAAATTGAGGCGTCATATCACCAGTCGCATTCATTTGTAAGCAGGTATGACCATGTTACAGTAGCACACGCGCTTACCTCCCTCGAGCTTGCGTGAAGTGTGCTTCATCACCATGGTGGCCAACTTCGGATTTGGTTTTTTAAAGGCAAGAATCAATACTTACTCATATCTCCTTTTCTATTCTTGGCTCTCTATTCTGCGAATAGCTCAATCTGCTTTCCATGGAGTAGTGCAGGCTCATGCCACCAGCTTCTCTAGGCAGTCTGTACCAGTTTTTTGGGCAAGTTCATCAGTGTGTGTATTCTAAATTTTATTATGGATTATGCTGGGATTATACACTGATGTTGCTTGTTTTGTTGCTTCTTTTTGCATTTCCCAACTCCAGGCAGTGCTATGTTCACATCCCTTATTGAAGTCTTATAAATTATTAATTTCTTAGTCACTGTGTGCTTTATAAATCTGGTAACACTTTAGAAATCCACCACATTTTAGCATGAATTGTTTTTGCAACTGTTGAATGTTTATCTTGTGTGTACTCTTTTCTTTTTCCTTGTGGATTCACAGGGAGATGCTGGTCTAACTGGTCGTAAAATCATTGTGGACACCTACGGAGGCTGGGGTGCCCACGGTGGAGGTGCTTTCTCTGGAAAAGATCCTACAAAAGTGGACAGATCAGCTGCCTACGCTGCTCGATGGGTGGCTAAATCACTTGTCAAAGGTGGCATTTGCAAGCGATGCTTGGTGCAGGTGGGTTAGCATTCACCTTTTGTAGCCAAGAAACCTTGAGTTTTAGTAGTTTGCTCTTTGCTCGTACTAGCAGTGGTCTTTGATATGCTACCAAGCTTTCAAAATTAATGCACCTGAACCCACGTAAAGAATACAATTTTTTGTTATTGATCACTTTAGTTTACAAAAAATGTTGATTCCAAAGAATGTGAAAAAGTAGTGTGCCAAATTGGTATGTATTGTGAGAAATATGAGCCTGAACACGCGAGCACGTAGCAAATAGCTTCAAAACTGAGATTACGCGATACGTGGATGGTGCTGCCAAAACCGGAAGGGAGAGGAAGGCGCTCTTCCTCCGTGTGTTGGAACTTCGGCATGATCGTCGCTGTGAAACGGCAGCTCATCGCGTGCCAGTAATGATAAGAAAAAAAATGTAGCAAAAACATGTGGCACATGCGTATTTAATTCTCGGCGAAACACCACCTAGATGTAATTAAAGCATCACCTGTGCATCACGGCAGGCTAAATCACAGCCATAATCTTTGCATCTGCATAACCTGTTGGGTCATTGGTTGTGGTTGTGTGTGTTAATTTTAGCGTATATTACTGCTAGCAGCCACTGACTTGCTATAAGCTGTGTTTTGCAGCAACGATTGTGTCAACAGCTAACAGAAGTGCGACACCCTTTCCACTTTGTTTCTGATAGCGGCCACTGCAAATCAGCCAATATAGGGTTTGAGGCTATTCGCCACGCATTCGCTTGTTCAAACTTGTATTGATTATGATCGTACTAGTATGAGGAACTAGCGCTGGAGTTGTGTGTAATGTGTACTTTAGCAGTTTTTCATGCATCTGGTAACATCAGCTTTGTAGGTATTCATTCATAACTTTATAAAACTATCAAGATGCCTTTCCTGCGTTTGGGGATTACAGGAATGGAATTGGAATGGAATGGAAGCGTCTATTCTGCAACACTGGTGTGAAACACAACAGTGACAGCGCTGGTGACAACACTGGTGTGAAGTTCAACAGTGACAGCGAAGGCAACACACCAACAAGATTGAAAAAAAAAAAAAAAAGAGATGAGATAATAGTGAGGAAGAAAGAGAAACAGTGAAGGTTGCCCATCTTTGCACTTCCTTCATCCTTGGCACTCCTGGTGCAAAACTGCCTTACCCCTCCCCTCCCTCCTCCTTTTTTTCCCCTTCTTTGAATGCGGAGCTTGCGTCTATTGAGATCACAAGCACGCATGCAGATATGTAACGGCATTTTGCGGCGGCCGCAGTAGCTATAGCTCATGCTCGTATCAGTGAGTGAATGTGGACTTTAGATTTGAGGCATCATCTGTTGAGGGAAGAGGGAGACATTTCTGACTTTGAGAATGAATTGTAAAATTGAGGCTGCGTGCTGAGTGACAATGTTAAACTCGCGGGTTCTTGGGAGGCGCGATTACCGACTGCCAGTGTTTTTTGACCATGCTCAAGAAGTGTTGCCGAGTCTCTTAATTTACTGTCAAATTGCATATCTGAACTTCACTTCTGTTTTGTCTGAGCAGACCATTTCCACATTCTTTCTGTGCAGGTTTCTTATGCCATAGGTATTGCTGAACCACTTTCGATCACTGTGCTACCGTATGGTACCTCCAAGTACTCCCAAAAGGAACTGTTGAACATTGTGAACAAGAATTTTGACTTGCGACCTGGTATTATTATTAGGTAAGTTACTGCAGTTGATTTCTGTCATCTGAACCACGGCAAGACTGGCAAAATGCGTATACAGTATAACCTCATTACAACAGACCTCCGTAGTGAAGAGGATTTTAGTCTTTTGTAAAAAGAGTACCGTATTTATTCAAATATAGGTTGACCTGTTTTTTTTTTTTTTTTTTTTCGAAACTTTTTTCATAACCAGCTATCGACCTACAGTCGACTCCTCATAAACGAAGCTCGAAGGGGATCGAGAAAACTGTTTCATTTATCAGAAGTTTCATTTAAGCAAAGTACACTTACTTAGTGAATTAAGACCTTTTTTCAAATTGCACAAACCTCGCCTTACTCATGAGGATGAATAGGAAAAAAAAAGGAGTGAAGAGTGGTTTGTTTGGCAAGCTTGAGTTGTTTTTTCACAAGGTACGCACCCATGCCTGACAAACTAGCTAGAAATTCTGGACAAGCCTCATGCTCAAAATAGTGCTGCAAAAGTTCAACAGCCTCGTCAGCTGATCGGTCCGGTGACACCACTGCACTGGCAGTATCATCACATTCATCGCTGAAAGGTTGATCCTTATCTTGCTTTTTGGCAATCATTTCCTCGACGGTCTCTTGATGGCAAGTACGAACGTTTTCATCTATTGATTCGTAGTCCTGCAGTGTGAAAGGGGCAGAGGGCACGACCTGACTGAATACTGTCTCAATGTCGGCATCAGCAGGGCTTTCTTCTTTATCAGGTACTGCTTTCTTGCACTTGAAAGCCAGCATGGTGAAAGCATCTGTGTATTGTTGCCTTCACTTGCTCCCAGGCACAAGCCGAAATGTTGATGGCTGCCAATAAATCTATGCTGTAGAATTTCCCGCTGCCTGCTCTAAGTAGCATTTGATGGAGCGATTGTCTGCGGTAATGAACTTTATTGTTCTGAATAACCCCTTCATCTATTGGCTGGATCACTGTCGTTGCATTGGCTGGCAAAAACTCCAGAGTGATGGCTTGGAGTCCTTGAACCTGACCATGGGCTGGGCAATTATCTACGATGAAGACAACCTTCCTGTCTTGCCTCGTAAATCTTTCGTCTTCCTCCCAAAGCCAGTTTTCGAAAATGGCCGTGGTCATCCACGCTGTTCTGTTCCCATGGTACGCAACGGGAAGATGTCGAATGCCTTTGAAACAACATGGGTGTCCTAATTTTCCTATTGCCAACACCTTCAATTGCTCATCTCCTGCCATGTTTTCACCCACCAGCACAGTAATGAGATCTTTACTGCGTTTACCTACAGGTTTCGCCTTTGAAGGTGAGAGTCTTTGATAGAAGCGCCTTATAAAAAAGACCCATCTCATCGACGGTGAAGACATCTTGTGGCTCAAAGCTCATCAAAATTTCCTTAAGCCACCCGTGTTTCCAGTCGGTGCAAATGTCCCTGTTGACTGCAGCACTCTCGCCAGGGATTGCTTTCAAGACTAGGCCATGGCGTGTTTTGAAGCGGCTGAGCCATCCGTCGCTTAGGACAAAGTTCTTAACCCCCATTTGCATGGCGATCTCTCCAGCTTTCTGCTCGAGAATTGGTCCACTTATGGGCAAATCGGACCTCCGGGCACGCTTGAACCATAAAAAAACAACTTCTTCTAGTTGTTCATAAGGCGTCATCCGCATCTGTTGAGATGTAAAGGTCCCGTTCAACAGTGCCTTCAACAATTTCTCTGTCTTTCCAGATCCGCGACAGCGTCGATTTCGGGATGTATTTTTTTGCCACCTCCATCTTCGGCAGGCCGCTTCGATCGAGCTCCTGAAGAATTTGCAGCTTTTTTTTTAAGCGAGAGTGCATGGGGCAGCCGCTTCCTTTCTATCCGGCTAAAATAACACCGTGATCCACCGCACTTAGCCGCACAAATAGGCCTAATGCACAATTGACTCTCTGACTCTGCTCCCACAGCCACAAGCGAGAATGGCTACTGGATTGGCTTGTCTCGATCTCGAGGTGCCGCCATGGTTGTGAGACTACCTTTGGCATGAGCGAGTCTATGCTGTGTTTAGAGTTTGTGCCGTTTAACCGTAGGTGACCAATAAGCACTGTTTCTATTAACCGACGACTTTTACTGCGCAACACTACATATGACAAAATCCAGCCATGTGAGCCCATTTGGTTCCGTTAATGAGGCATTTTCATTTAAGCGAGTTTCGTTTATTGGGAGTCCACTGTATATTCGTGACCAAAGAATCTTGATCTACCGTATTTACTCGATTCTACCGCGCCCTCGATTGTAACGCGCACCCGATTTCCACCGCGAAAAAAAAAACAAAAAACGTAAGACATCGATTGCAACGCGCACCCATTTTTTTTTTTTTTTTTGCTGGCCCGCACGATCACACCACTCGAAAAAACGATTCCTTTCGGGATTGTCTTCCATTTATATATGAGGTACGGGCGAAGCTTGTGCCCATCTGACGTGTAACAGAGCATTGCCGTCACTGTAGTTTTACCGTGGACCGATGTCAGCACGCGAACTTGCTTCGCCCCCTTCTTCTCGACAGTTGTGGTGCCAGGCATGTCGAAGTAAAGAGGCGTCTGATCGGCATTCCAGATTTGCCCAAGCAGGTAGCCGTTGTTGCGCCGCAAGTTTAGGACGAACCTCTGAAAACTGTAAAGCTTTTCATCGTACTTCTCCGCAAAAGTTTTCGCATATGCATGTTCCCCTTCGGAGGGAAGAGCCTTTCCTCTTCATATAGTTAATTAGCCAGCACCTGCTCGCTTTAAACAGGCTCCGCATTAGACTTTTTTCTAAGACTAATTGCATAGCCCGCACTTGGAGCAGTTCTGTCGTCATGGGCCGCTGTGCCACTCGCTCCTCAAGCACATACTCGCGGAGCAGCTCTTCAATTTGCGGAAACCGACCCTGCTGTGGTTCACTGAAGCCTTTGCGTGAAGCTTTGCTGTCGACAATCTTCTGCTTTTGCTTCCGCCGGTCCCGCACGCACGTTTCGAGAAGGACCGCGATGCGGCCCGATTTCCGTCCGATTCTGCACACGCGATGACTTTTCTTTTAAAAGCGGCATCGTGGTGCACTCGAGTTTTTGGAGTCGGCCCTTCCACGTCGTCGATGCTAATGCACTACTAGATGACGAACTCCTCAGCACACGTACGAAGTGCCGCACATGGTAAACACATAGGCAGAAATAGCCGACGCACCATGCCGACGCCCGTAGGGGGCGGCCATTTTGGATTTGCGATGGCAATAGATTGACCGTAATTTTTTTGTTCGTACTCGATTCTAACGCGCATGCGATTTATGAACTCGCTTAACCGGAAAAAAGGTGCGCGTTAGATTCGAGTAAATACGGTATATTCACTATCAAACCAACCAAAAGCACAGAGCTTATAGCGTTCAACTGCCGTGCCTGCTGTTCTTCAAGCGGTTCCTGCTGCATACGCATGTTATATACCATAAAATCTGAAATAGACCTCCCTCCTCCTTTCCGACTACCTAAGTAATTGAGAAAAAAAGTTATTTAAGCAATAGAAGCAATAACTGCGTACTGCCCCCGTGAAATGCAGCCGCTCCACCGTGTTTGCAATGAAACCCACGATTTCCCTAGGTATTCGCTGGGAAGTCTCTAGCTCACTAGCCGTGCTTCCGATACTGGCTTCCGGTGCGCATCCGCACTGGCACTGGCCTGAGGCCTCGCCTCGCGCTTTGTTCATTGTACAATTGACGTGACAGGGTGACGGTTCGCATTTGCTTTAGGCGCTGCGTCGTGCTCTCTACCGGGCTGCAGAAATTAGGCGCCTTCTTCTTCTTCTAACAACCACCACCATTTGGTTGTGCACGGTTACGATGATGTCACGTCGGCAGAGCTACACAGGTGACTTCAAGTAATTTTGCCATGCAGCACAAGTTCTGTGTAAACGAGGCATTGATTAGGGGTTGGCGGAAGCATTGCTGATCTGAGCCAGCAAAACAAAGGAACGTTTTCTCAAAATTCAAAAACTGTCCACTGCTTCCTATTCTTTCCCAGCAGCGTCACGACGCGATTCTCACCCATGCATAGCGAGGCCATGGTGAAAAGCGCGCTGAAACAACGCCTAAACCCCCTTTCGTGAACGAACCATACAGTTGCATTAACACATTAACACCAGCAGCTGACTGCCATCGAAAGTATCTACCAACGCCGAGATGAAAGCAGTGTATCGTGGAGCGGTGACTTTTGCCTTGTTCTATGCCATTCTTATCATCCATCACTCGTGGCTAGCTGATTTTGTTGATTTGATTAGTTACCATTTAGCCGCTCTGATTAATTACCACACTGGCCAAGCGCGAACATAATGATAAGCATCTGAATCGGAAAAGGCATCGTGCTGCGGTTGCACCCAGCAGGTGCGAAAAGGAAATCGTGAACTGAGCGACTGAGCTTCAGCTTCGGATTTTCTGCGGCTCTAAAGCAAGCCAGTGGCAAAACAAAAGCAGGGCAGTCTCATTGCCATCGCTATCGAGAAATGGTGGCACCCATGCTTGCTGAACTGCGGTGGTTTCTGGTGGGGCCAACACGTGTTTTAGACTTCGTTGACGCATTTTCAGCCTCTGAAAATGCATTGAAATGTTAAAGATTGGGTTTACAGCATAGCAATAAGTATCTGAGCCTGGAATCGCATCGTAAAATTTCGTTGAAGCGGGACGATCAAAGAATTGATTGATATGTGGGGTTTAACGTCCCAAAACCACCATATGATTATGAGAGACGCCGTAGTGGAGGGCTCCGGAAATTTCGACCACCTGGGGTTCTTTAACGTGCACCCAAATCTGAGCACACAGGCCTACAACATTTCCGCCTCTATCGGAAATGCAGCCACCGCAGCCGGGATTCGAACCCGCGACCTGCGGGTCAGCAGCAGAGCACCTTAGCCACTAGACCACCGCGGCGGGGCGGGACGATCAAAGAAAAAGTGTTCGTTTGGGCGACAATATTTATGCATATACTCCTATGGGCTGCAGACGGGGAATCGTGTAT